GGGGGGGGGGGGGGGGAGAGAGAGAGAGAGAGAGAGAGAGAGAGAGCAAAATTAGTATGTATAAAAATACATGCTGTACTAATTATGAGTACTATATGAATCTCTAGGAGTTTTTATCAACCTTGAACTGCACCATGTTTATGTATTGCAAAAAATCCTTTTATTTACCATGTAGAAACATGGTCTTTGTTGCTTCTATTCATTCTTTGGACTATTTCAAAATAGCTTTGGATAAGAAGGATGAAGAAGAAGCTGAAGAAGAAAGTGATGATGAGGACCTTGCTGATGGAGATGAGGATGAATCTGACTTGGATTTAGCATGGAAGATGCTAGATATTGCTAGGGCAATTGTTGAAAAGCACCCAGGAGATATGATGGAAAAGGTGGATATATTGTCAGCTTTAGCAGAGGTAGCTCTGGAAAGAGGTACCGTGTTTTTTGTTTGAGGATTAATTATGTCAATCTACCTAGAGAGATTTTATGGGCTTTCTTTTGTAATTTTAAGCATGCTCTGATTTTTCCAGAGGATGTCGAAACGTCACTTAGTGACTACTTGAAAGCATTGTCCATTTTGGAACGGCTAGTTGAACCAGACAGTCGACTTATAGCTGAACTGTATCCTTTGTAATTTTTAATGTCCCTTCATTGTTTGAGGTGTTAATCATTGGAATCTTGATGCTGGTCTGTTTTAGGTAGATACCCACGTTTTGAATAATTCTTCAATTTCTCCTCTCCACATGTTGCCATTGACTTCCATAACAGGCGAATACAGAAATTTTAGGATATGCTTGTGCTTGGAAATTGGTTCTAAACCTGAGGAAGCTATTCCGTATTGCCAAAAGGCTATTTCAGTTTGCAAGTCTCGTGTGCAGCGACTTATGAATGAGGTAAAAAACTTGTCAGCAGAAACACTGGCTGCTTCTGAATCAAGCCAAACTATTCAACTGTCTTCCAATACGTTGGGTGATTCTCTGGCGGACAAAGAAACAGAAATCGAAACACTTGCTGGTCTGTCTGGTGAGCTGGAAAAGAAGGTAACAGGACTAAATGACCCAAAAAGTATGACATGCCTAGATGTGACATAGCAATGACTCTCATTTTGTTGGTGTGCAGCTTGAAGATCTTCATCAGCTTGTCTCAAACCCAACGTCTATCCTCTCAGCTATCCTGGGAATGGTATCAGCAAAGGCGAGGGATGCTGAGAAAAATGCTCGTTCTATTGCTTCGGGCACCTCACGGACGGGCATTGCTAACATTGGTGGATCTATTGAGTCTTCAACCGTTTCTACTGCACAAACGGATGAGTCTGCTACAGTAACACATCTGGGAGTTGTGGGAAGAGGAGTCAAGCGAGTTGTGATGAACTCAGGCACGGAAGAGTCTAGCGCATCCAAGAAACCTTGTGTTGATCCATCACCAAACAATGGCGACGGCAGTGCCTCTTGAATAATTCTCCAAGTGAAAGTCTGCTTTAGGAAATTTCGCCATCGACTGATTAATATATTTCTCCAAGAGCT